ATAGTCCATATTGCAATCGGTTGCCGATGGTGCGTTTGTATTCAGGACCACCAATCCTTTCGAAGCACTTGTCCGAACTGTGATCATGGTTATGTTTGTGCTAAGTTGAAGTTGCATTTTGGTGGTTATAAAAATCGTCTTTCGAAACGCTTCAGAGGAGGTGAAGTGGTTTTACCTAGTGTAACAAACTAATTACCAAACCGAGCTAGATTCAAGGTTACCTGCCAAACCCGTAGTAAGTACAGATGAGCGTTACCAGCATTTAAAAGAAAAGATGGAAATGAGGAGTCAGGTCACTCGCAGCCTTGAAGAAGGTCCCACCAGTAAATACTAGCTCTCTGAGAGCTACTTGTGGATTGACGCCTGTCGGTGTATAACAGTAAGAAGCAAAAATAAATTTAACACCCCAAGTGGAATAAAGATACACAACCACCTCTCTCCATTTTCCAAACCCATAGTAAGGTCAGACTGGGCTGCCAAATCACACCGTTCCCCTTTAACTTTGTCGTTGATGGCATTCTGGAGATGGCCTTGAAGAAAGCACTAGGTAGTGGTGCAGACCTACCCCCTGGTGAAGAACGTTTCAACGTCGAGTATGTGGACGATATCGTAAACAGTTCCGCTCCACGCCTGTGTATACTGACTTTTTCAAGCTGAAGATATCCAACAACTCAGTATATCAGACCACCATTGTCTCCATAGGGTTGCTGGCACTGGGTGGAAGCACCATGTGAATAATTCTGAGGTGAGATGGAATGTATTTGAGTGTGATAAACGTCGTCCGAGTCCTTGAGATATTTCAATAGTGTCGTCTTAACAGCTTCTGCTTTGCTCACAGTATACTTGCCTGGGGACTGGTAGGGAGGGGGAGGTGTGACCAGCATAGGAGGGAGTTCTGTAGGATGAGGAATAGTTGTTTTAGGCTACCATATGTAGGCGTCTTACAAATGCCTTAGTGGGGTTCGAGAGATCATGCAACTCACTGACTAGAAACGATGGAAGTATGGCGCATAGTCGCTGTGATCATTTTGCAGTCTTTCTGTTTTTTCTACTGCCCAGTATTGTAACGAAAGTAGTGAATGCTACTTCGGATGTATCTTAGAGACTACTTCTTTCATAAACCACTTCTATTTTAGTTTCCACTCTTTCTTCCGTTTTATGTCACTTCACAATGTTGCTTTATTATTTTGTATTCCTCATCTCTTAGTGCCCACACTGTGTCAAACTTGCGCCCTAACAGTAATCTATAATTACCACTAAAACAGTCACAAATGCAAGCAGAGAAGTAGAGCCAAAGTAAGAATTACTCAGAGAGATACAAGAACAAAATCACTTTTTTTAAAATATAGTGGTTTTAGAGATCGTATAAAGAAACATTTTGATGATGCTTAAAATATAGGGCAAACAGATAAGTAACACTTTTATTAGTTGTGCTATGAATGTTACTGACCAACTTTTATATCCATGAGACGAAGATGAGAAGCACACTTTGAATCTGATCAGAGGAGGACAGTTTGACGAATAGTCAGTAGTAAAGAATTGTACTGACTAATGATGGATAGTGGTTGAACAACACAAACAGAAAAATAGCATGTGTACTTATGAGTACACCTTCAGCCACATCAATTCACTGAAAACAAGAAGACAAGGATCCACTATTGATTACCCACTTAATGAGTCGAATGATTGCACAGAGTTATTTCAGTGCTAAACCGTTATCAGATGCATCCTATGATTTTTACTAACTATTCCCTGGTTGGTTATGCTTTTAAACAGAGCTAAACAAGTCAATTCAGAAAATCCAACTCTCAAAAGCTTTGCTCGATGATTCTGCTAGTGGAGGTTTAAAGTAAACTGACAAGAAATTGTGAACCAAGATTTTATGCTTAGTGACACTCACCAAGAAAAGCAGTATCACATTGCTTTGCCTTGTGTCCACATTTTGAACGTGATGGATAGACTGACCAGTGCTGAGTAACAATGGCCTGGGATCTACTTTGGTTACTCTGCGACGACCAATACACGATTAAGATTTCTGTCATCACCAAAAAAGAGGATAGCAATAGGCCTAAGCGGATTCAGTTATTTCTATTTCCAGATTTCGTTAAATATATTTGCAATTTGATGCAAAAATAGGATTGATTCGATAATCGTTGCACTAATGATAATAATAATAATAATAATTATTATTATTATTATAATAGCTTTATTTCAAACAAGAATTGTGGTACAGTATGGAATTCTCAGCATCTAATAGGTGAACGAGTTCATTCCCTGCACAATATCTCTAAGCGAAAAAATCACTACATTTGAATTATGTTAATAATAACAGTAATAAAGGTCACAATGTGAAGCAAGCATCTGGTATTATATTAGCATCTAGTCTGGACTGGTCAGTGAATAGAAATATGGAGCGTAATTTTGGTGGTGGTAGTTTATTCAGCCAGTACAAAAAAAAATGCGATTTGCCATAGTTATCCAAGGAATAGTAATGTACTGCATTTCTAAGCTCGTCTCTTGCTGGCGTATAGTTTATTCTTAGCTTGAAAAACGGCAGTTTGAAACTATTTTAAGTGTGCACGAGTACTTGAAGCTTTTAAAAGACAGGAACAAATTGAAAGGGAAAAATTTGATGAAATAAATTCGGTGGGAAGTTTTCGGTACCTCAAAATTTAAGCAGGCCGTTGTATCGAGTCGTAAGTGTAATCCGATTACAGTTGTGCATTCGAAATCTTACTAATTCACCGTCCAGTTTCAATTTCTAGACTCCCTCACCTCTTAGTTGTCCAGCTCTACCGTTTATCAGTTATTCTTTATTATAAACGTAAGTATAGCCTATGCACTTGGTGAATGGTTGGTTGACATTTTTCTCTTCCTCTTTTCCCTTCCAGATTCTCGTGGTCACCATTAAACTCACACTGCTCTACGTGCCCCCTGCCACGACGTACCTACCTACCTTACAGGATAGGCGAAAGCCTATCACCAGCCGGTCGTTACAACAGTTTCTCTATGCAGATGCTACTTGAGTAGTGAGTGCATAGAAAAACATGAAATTATGATAGCTCAGCATAGAGAACGAAAGACTTATGTACATGTGTATGGGCTAGTAGCTTCATCCAGATTCTGCTAAAATGCACACACCAGAAATTCTTGTCATTTGTGGTTCCGGATGTGTAGACAAGGCACCCGGCCCATACAACTTACTCCGTCTCTTTTCAAGGTAGGAGGAACGACTCTAATCAGGAAACTGACTAGATTGTTTGTGAAAGTATGGCAGACTGAGAGCGTTCCATCACTATCGAATGAGGCCTTTACTGTGCTCATTTTTAAGAAAGGTTGACGTTAGGTATATGACAATCACCGGGGTGTTAGTCCGTTACCGGTTGTGTCAAAAATACAAGCTGCTATCATACTTGGCAGATTTCGCAAAACGCATGAAAAAACCATTCCAGTGGACCACACTGGGTTTCGTTCAAGTCGTGGACGAATTGACAAGGTGCTTACCCCCTACTAAGTGTTTGGACATCGCCACACGTATTGCAGGCCAACAGTCGTTGTGTTTCATAACATTAAGGCTCACTTCGATTCTTTGGACACAGATGTACTCTAGAACTGTCTGTTGGAGAGGGGTGTGCCTGAGAAATTTATTAACATTTTGAAAGCCTTACATAATAATACCTCAGGGAGAGTGAGAGCATACCACCTGTCTGAACTGTTCAAAAACAAGCAGTAGGGCTACGCAGAGTTGCCCGATTTCTCCATTCCTCTTTAACTTGTCATCGATGACATTCTTCAAATAGCTCTAAAGGAGGTGCGTGATGGTGGTGTAGATCTACTACCCAGAGAACGACTATTCGACCTTGAATATGCGGACAATATCGTCTTACTCAAATTGCACTTAATCAGTTGGCTATCAGTGTGGTATTTGCATGCCAAAGCACTTTTGTAAGACCGACAGGAGCTTGTGTTTGCGCTCACCCTCAGTGGTGAGCCTTTGGAAGTAGTCGAAAAGTATGTGTATCTGTGTGAGGGCTGATGGAGGTGAGTGATGAGATTTTTAAGTGCGTATCGAAAGCCAAAGTGGCATACGCCAATCTGGGTCACCTTTGCTCCCGTTAGTCTGCCCGTAAAACGTCAGGTTTACAACGCTTCGGTGCGAGCGGTTCTGATCTAGGCCTCTCTGAGCTGACGATGTGCGACGACTCTGTATCCGACCATTCTTGTCTGCGTAGGATTGCAGGTATCCGGTCGCAGCATCATGTAAGTAATTCTGAGATACAACAGCGTGTGTTTGGGCATGATAGAGACCATCATTCAATAAGTGAAGTCATCTGGAAACACCGGTTTCGGTGGCTTAGATATGTGTTACGTGTGTCGTCCAAGCATCTTCCATACCGTTCACTGCTTTTCATCTCTAGAGGACTGAATGGAAAAAGCGGAGGGGTGGTCAGTGTATGACGTGGTGCCATGGGATGATGGATAGTCGTATCGGGTAGGCATCTCTTGGTGCATCACAACTCCCTGAGTGGGGTCCGAGAGATCACGCAACTCAGTGGCTTGACACGTTGTCAGATGTGGCTCAAAACCGAAACCAGTGGCTGTCATGCTGTAGCTTCGTTTTATCTTCCGGTGCTGAAAAGTAATGAGTGTTTTATTTTGAATGTATCTTACTGGAATGCCCTTCTAAACATACTATTCTTATTGTTTTCCTTTTTATTTATCCACTTCCTTTCGCTTTGTGTTTTCATCATTTTGTTATACTACTCTCTGTGGCGCATTTCTCAGCGTCCTTACTATACCATGTTTATGTTATAATAATAATAAATAATAAAGACTGCTCAAAGTCTTTGAGGAAGAGGATGACTACGCCCAACTTTGAGAAATGGTAAATACGTATGATTGAAAATCACCTAAATAACGAAACATCATATGGTCAAACCACTGACACTAAATATATTTCACGGCAATCCTTAGCCTTTATCATCAGACAAGAAATGATTACGTAAGAAAATGTACCAATGTATTTTCATCTAATATGTTACATACATAGTATAACTAACACAAAAGTTATAACCTAGTCAGTAAGACAACAAGACTACGTTTACACAAAAAGAGAAGCTGACTTTTAAATACACCTACAAAGAAGAAAGGAAAATAATCGAATTCAATAGTGAAACACTATTTGACAATGACTCCTTGAAATGTAAGACATTATTGATATCACTTTCTCATGGAGTTACAAACGTTTCTGAAAAGTGGATATGCCACGAGCAGCAGCATAAGCTAACAAGGTCCTAGCAGTTTGTTTAGCTTCTAAATAATGCCGAGCATCAACTAACCAATCATTGGCAACAACACGGGCTTGACCGCGTAATTGTCCTAACAATCGAACAGCTGTTTCAATTCCTTCAACATCAAAAGTAGTATTATCATCCTTTGAAGGGACATCATGTTCATTGGTGATTGCTAGTTTAGCACTGGACAATAAACAGAATGGATCTGGTTTGGAATCGATTTGGTTAATGAAATCTTCACCTTCAGACAATTGAACCTGTGAACCACTAGTCGTATTTCTTTTAATTAGTGACAACAACTGCAGGTATTTGTATTTCATATCAAGCACCAATACAGATTGTAGCCAGGATAAAGCATACTTCATTAGTGAGCCACTTGTCTCATCAATTAAAGTGACACTCCTGCAAACGTTATATACCTAAGAAAAAGAAAAATACAAGGTGTTATTTTATTATGAACATTTTCACCAACCCACTTAGACTCAAAGGTGTATCATCTGACTTCATATTTCTTTTGTTACGACCTCATTGTGAATCGCGATTCACGTAACTGTATGCCAGATAGATAACACATAACTGAAGGCCAGACAAGTTGTTCACAGAATTTTTGCTAACTCGCTGTTCAAGTTTGCTACGTTAAAAATGTATGATTGGCTCATCTTAATTAGCAAGAAATCTAATAGTTTTCCTGAACATCTTCATGATTCGCAGTATCTAAAAACACTGGGACTCATTATTTTCTGAAAAAAAACTAGTTAGCTGTCATTCCTATTACTGCTTGCATTTGTAGGAAAACATCCCAGATAACACGTAAACCTTTTGAGGAAGAGTTAATTTAATTCCGAAATATATTTGTTTGCTATCAATGTCACAAAAGATCAAATGTGATGACAATAAACATACAGTGTCCACCAATGGATCTGTATTAAGTGAGGTGACCAATAGATGAATTTTCAGTTATCCTACTATACAAACTGGCCAAGTGGCATTCAAAATTCAGTGGCTTTATTCGAATTGAACAGTAATTGGAGACGGTCCTTCTACTAAGAAACAAATGCTAAGTTTCAATAAAAAACTCGAAGTTTAATCTGTACTTGAAATATGGAGGAGTAGAACTTCATTCATCAGGTAAAGGAAGTTGTACCCAGCTTCAGTAGAGTGGAATAATACAAAACTTCAATATTTGAACACTTAACATGTAACTAAATTTTTAAAACCATGTTAAATGATTGTAAAACAGATGTAGATACACTACACTGTCGTTGTATAATGATCACTGCTCCATTTGGCCAATCGGTTACACTGAGCTAAGTCTACCCAATAAAATCAAAGAAAAACTGAAATAATCTTGTAACTATATAAAGGATATCCTCCAAGTTGTGTAGTTATCTTAATATGACTATGGACAATAAATTATGTCCGAAACGTAAACCAGTAGTCAATACTGTTACACTGTATGATAAATATAATGAACCAATAAAAATGGAATCTTGTAACTACCTTTTCAAACCGCTTTTTCAATCCATCTTCTGTCCAGACTCCTTTGTGTACTACATCAATAGGTAAACTGTCTAAAATTGAATTAACGAAAGGATAATTTCCGGAAGAAGCACATTCACGAATGGAATCAACAAAATCTTTTAGAGATCCAGTATGATTCATTAAAAGGGAGTCATCCTTATTCCCATGATCAGATTTCATCGTCGGACTAACTGAATGCAAGCGACAGGCCAGAGCTTCACATGCAAGCCATAGGGATTGTGCTTCTTTAGCCAATCGATCTAGATCCGCCCTGCCTAAAAAATTAAAAAAATAGTTTGAAATTTGAAGTGAAAGATCTCAGAACATAAATACTATACACCATTAACTGCTAGAGTTCATATTTATGATGCCGAGATTCCCAACTGTGAACTGTGTCCAATCGATATGCTTACTCAAGAATATACACTCTCACTTCACCAGTAACCCTATTGGCTCGCATAATTTTAGTCAAAGTGACCTAGTTTCTCTTACTTAATGTATACGTATGTCACACATATAGGTATTCTCATATGATGTAGGGATACTTGACTACATCTGTTACCAATTAGTGGTGCTAAAATTATTGCCAATAAGCATAATACAGGTCAAAATGATTTTTTTTGAAGATTCTTCAATGCCAGAAACTTTGGTCAAAGAGTGATGAGAACAAAAGAGGTTATTCTGAAACCCAAGGACAAAATCGTTCTTCCAACTATAACTCTAAAAATTGCACTCTCTTACCCACGGATTTCCGATGACAGGGTATTCTTTTAAAGTATGAGCGTAAACGATTAAAATCTAAATTAAATATAGCTAAAAAAACAGATGTGACTGTTGATTTCTAAACAGATTTCCCAAGTGGATAAAAGCTTCAATATTTTCTTCATATACCTCAGGAAGAAGTAACCTTTCATAGATGAGTCGGTAAGGGCTGTCTGCATATTTCAAGCAGCGCTGATGTATCCCTTGGGACATGGGGTATAGACAGATTTTGGTGTTCCATATCCTCAAATATGCAGTCAATCACAACTGAAAGTCAAACATAGAAACAAAAAATAATGATTTACTGAGAATAACTGATAAACTGACCATCTACGACGTCCTCGATGGCTTCCATACGTTTAGTCCAACCAGCAAGTGCAGCTTCAAAGGCAACTCTTTCCTTAGCAAGCTCTTCACGAAGTCGGAATGCGAACTGGTGTTCCATTTTTTCTCTTTCTAACTGCAACATATACGAAAGATGTTCACTGTGTCTAGCCAGAGCTAATTTCAGCTCATGTTCTTTAGCTTCGCGAGCCTCAAGTAACTGAATAAGAAAATATAAGAGGAAGAAATTAAAAAGATAAGATGGTCTACTACAATCACTATATACAACAGTCCAAACACTTGTTCATTAATAAGTAGTACGTGTATGTTAGACTGAAGATTTTAAGACCAAAGCACAACAGGTTTGTTTACCCAAAAAGGTTCATTGACAATAATTTAGCTGTATCTATTGTTCTTCGACAGCAAGATAAGATAGTGAACCCGAAACAACATATAATTTATTTGTTCACATTACAGCTAATTTTAAAATTAATTATGTAACTGAAAATACTTGGCTGGCAGGTTAGGAGAGCGTTGTGAAGTACCTGAAAAAGAAATTGGGTTAATAATCATGGTGCATAGCGGCAGAGTCCAAGAAATATTTTCTTGAGGTTGTTCATATAAGGCCGTTTTAGGAATTTCATATTTCAGTTTTTTTGCTTCCAATCCAGCAAAAGGTTTATACCGCTGGCGCCGGAATGCCGCAGGGTAATAGGTAGTGCGCTATTCTTAAAGCCGACCTTTCCTACCCCTCCCTTCCTATAAGGCAGCATTAGCGTAGCGCTACTGGTCATCCAAGAAGAAAATCATATTGGTGTCACACTCCTGTTCAGCCAGTAAGTAGTACGACCTCGCTATCAGATCCCCCCATACAGTGTAGTAATTTACACTGCAAAGATAACTGCTTTTCGGTCTACCACTAACGAACTGACCTTCCTGATATGGTAGGACCTTCAGGGAGCAATGTTTACTCCAACATAGCTCATCGGGTCATTGTGATATACAAGCTCAAACACCACCAGGGTAGCAGCTATCGATCAGAACTTATACTCAAATAACCCTACACTAACTTTCTTGAAAGAAGTATATGATAAACCCAACCCTAGGCTTTTTTATCAATTGATTCCTAACATCTAACTTCAAAGAAGCAGCCTGTTAAAGGTTTTCCACTGAGAATATTTTGTCATATTCTTCCGTTTCAATCGTTTAAATATGCCTTTTAAACGCATCATGTACTCTCACACCTCTTTAAAATGTTTTTAATCTGCAGTTTTTCAAGCTAAGAAAAAAACAAAGAAAAAACGTTACGCAGGAAGAGAACGGACTTATAAATGGACAAAAATACAGCGCATTACCGTTCCTAAGATACTCATATCTAACTGCAGATTTTTGTACAGGTTGAATGAACTACCACCATTAAAATTACGCTCAATTTTCTATTCATATTGTGGTTTCATTTAACTGCGATATTACATCGATTTAATTTCTAAAAGTTAATGAAATGATAACTATAGTTAAGAAACAACCTGAGTTGTGATAAAGTTCTGTTGACCTCTTAATTATTATCTCACATTACGACTAGTCTGTAAGAGCAAAACTATCCACAGACGGTTAAGTCAATAATTACAGGAAATTATTAAATTCTGCTTCCTAAATTTCTTACTGACTCTCAGTTTGTTTCACATAACTAACTTCTCACATCTTGCGTTTACAATAATGAATATAAGTGTTCAGTGACATTTATTTAAGTGATATGCATCATCATCATCATCATTATCAACATAGGACCAGGCATTACTGCGTAACGGTCCGAGTTGCCACACCTCATATCAGCACACCAAGTAAAAAGGTAGTGTGAGGTGAAGGATGAAGATAAGTGAATGCAGTCAAAAGAAATATAAAGTACGAGAAGAAAGGAAAGAGGAGTGACAAAATAGTGAGATTCGGTATAGCGTTGTTAAGAGGAGGATAATGTGTGTATACATCTGCGCCACTGACTTCGGTTCTGAGCCATATCACCTAGGGTCTCCAACCACTGGTTCCTCTTGTCCCGTGGACCCCAACCACCTAGTCTGCATCTTCCTACATGGCTTAAACCAACAGTCAGAGACTTCATACATTGGTGCCATGTTTTAGTCTGGCCACCTCGGGCCTTTTTCCAGCCTGAACCCACCTCAGCCAACATTGTGTGACGAGGCAATCGGTGACTAGGCATACGTAGTACGTGTCCCAACCATCTCAGTCGATGAAGGTTCACAACCTCGTCGACTGACTTACCTCTTCTCCCTAAAACTCTACACCTAACTTCTGCATTACTCACATGGTGACACCACGGAATACGTCCTATACTACGAAGGCAACGGTGGTCAAATACCTGTAACCTTCTCATGTCTTCCACTTTCAATGGCCATGTTTCACAGCCATACAGTAGAACAGAGCGGACTGCTGTGCAGTACACGCGACCCTTAATAGACAAATGAATATCACGGCGGAAGTGATATGCATCATCCTTGAAAAAACAAACTGTCGGGATTTAACTGGTGTGCAAAGCATTCAAAAGAAGATTGACTGTTATTCTCTATCCTAACTGTTAAGAACACTATGACTGATTGAAGTCGCAATTTCACACATATCAGATACGCAGCTACAATTGTGACGTTGACGAGAGAGAATAGTGCCGTAAGCCCGTCTGCAGATTTCTCAACGGGATTAAATGCAACCCTAAATAATCCTTATCACCCATTCACCACACTCAATGGCGATAGATGCTTCGTAAAGTTGGATTTAGTAGGCTTTCACCTCTAAGCTCAGGTCACTGCATAGAGCTTTCGACAATAAACATTCATTGAAGTTTGTACCAACTCAATCGATTACTATTCGGAGTCAAAACTGCTTCTACTGTATTCCTATAGATGATATATATTGAGGTGTCGGAGCTGCGACATATCTCGACAAAATCATAATAGTGAGGAAATCTATACTGAGAATGCTCAAAAAAAAATTAAGAGCATCTTGGAGTGAACAGAAGATTGCATGTTACAGCTGTGTTGATAAATCCATTACGCACTTGGGATTTGTCTTTAAAAAACATGGCAACAGGCTTTATTTTAAAACTGTCTCTATGATACAAGAAATGTCTGCACCGGAGGACGCGCTTAGACAGTAATCATGAGATGACTACGTCTAAGTCTGCACCAAAAAAGAATGTAAGAAAACTACAACTAGAAGACTATTTCGAGCGCAACTCTATGATGCAAATGCTACAGCAGCTTTCAATGAGCAACTAGACAAAAATTTAACGGAATGGGACAAACTCAACTATCCTGACGAAGTCTAGCGCCACTAACTATCTTATGTGAAGGAGAAACAGTGGTAAAGACAGTGAATGATATCCCAAAAAAGATCATAAAAGATCAACAGTTGACTCAATCCATTTTATTGTAAGGCGAAATCTCAAAATCTATATCGATTGGCTAATTTTATGTTATTCCATCAGATGAACGAGTCAATTCATAATTACATTACATAAAATTGATGCTTTTAGCGCTTTTTCATGTGGATGATTTAATCATGAGCCTTGAATTGTGCCTCGTGACAACGCCATCAGCACAACCAATCTAACAAAACTGAGACAGCACTGTAAATGGTTAAGTAGCTTGCTAATTTTAACCTTAGACATAGTTTAATTGTTTTCTTTGTTTGCATTGTCATCAATTACATACTTCCAGCTGACTTATTCACTGATTTGATAGTTGTTTACAATTTTCCTCATTAGTTAATAAGTCAAAGCTGCATCCATAAACCTACGGACTATTATTTGACCCTAGTGAGAGACTGTAGAAATATTTTGGCTTTGTTTAAGCTTCAATTATCAGAGAATATCACATTTTAATTTTCCAATTCATAACCCCAATAGTCGTGATTTATTGATGCAAGCGATGATATATTGTGACGCTTAAGCAACAAGTGAAAAAATAGGATGATCACTTTATCCAATGTAGTGTTTATCGCAGCTGTTATATATAATTTTACAAACGATATTTGTTTTGTCTTTCTTAGCAGTTATATCCTTTAGCTAGTTTGCTATTTTGGAGGAAGAGAGTTAAACGGCATTTCCGTGATATCCGATATCATTTGTGTACAGCAAAAAAGTCAGCTGATCTCTGCAGATGACTATGCAGTTGGTGAAAAAGTTGACAAACAACAATGGTAACTTTTGAATGGATAAATGTTCTTCTTTAGGATAGTCATGATATAAAATCATTTAATTTTTTCATGATGTGGTTTAACTAAGGTATATTTTCAATTTTGTGAATAAATTTGCACTAAGCAGGAAAGAGTAAATTTGTAGATTTTGCAAATAATTTTAGGTAACAGCAATCCTACAGAATTTGTTTTCATATGCTCGATTATTGAAAACATATTTGAACACTGAAGTTTTAGGCGTCGTCAAAACCGTATACTGTTAGCGTCTAAAGGTCTATACTGAGAACTGTATGAACTTTTGACATAAAAAGATCCATATGATCTCTACACTATTCTACATCCTTTTGGCATTTATACTAAACGTGACCAACAAAAAATCGTGATAAATTCCAGTAAGTTACTAGAAAGAAATGGATATATATATATATATATATATATATATATATATATATATATATATAAACATGTAATTCGGTGCCAAGACATACCCATCTATGTCTTTCAATATCATGTTTACTCCGTTCTAAATCTAGTTCTCGTTTTATATATTCTTGTCGAATGGCATCATCTCCTCGTCGTTGTGTATCCAAAGCTGATTTCATTCGTTCTCTCTCAGTTTGTTCTAAATGGTCCAGTTTAGCTTGCAATGAAGCTATACGAGCATGTGCCACTGAAATCAAATCATTCAATTCATCCACATTCATAGAGGTACAAACTGAAAAGAAATGAATATGTTTAGAAAGGCAAGATGTATAAAGTGAAAAGTAATAAGTAATGTAGACAACTGCATTACATATATTAAAATGTAAGCTAATACAGTAAACCAGAGTTAAATAAGATAAAAAGGAACAACTTGGATCACGTTGATAAATACCGCTGGAATTTAATTCGTAACAAAGCAGTTTTACAGGGTTCATACACAAATAAAAATTAACATTGGTAGGCAAAACTACATCGAATCCTGCACAAAATATGACGGATCATGATGTTGCACCTCTCAACAACAAACAGAGTAATTTTTGAAAAGCTCAAGGATATTTAGATAAATAAGGGGGATATAAAACGACAGAAAGTAAATAACAAAGATTGAAAATTTTGCTCAGAGTCATAACGATCAAGAGAGAATATAACTGCAAAATCGTGATGGATTCTTGATCATATAACTGAAAATCTTTAACCCCTAGTTCCTAACACCTTTAAGACACCACAAGCAGGAAGTCTACATTGCTCTAAAAGATTCTAGTCGTTTTCTGGTGTCGCCAAACTTTAGCTTGAGTTCAAATCAATTCTCCACTTGTCAGTGCAGGTTCACTAAATTCATCGAATTACTCACCTTCTTTGCTTAGCACTCTACTATAAACACTGTCCTGACATCTCTTAGTCGTTAAATTATATGCTAGAAAAGCTCCGTAAACATCCGTCATCGAAAACTAACAGGCATTAGTACAACTAAACATTCAAAAAGAAAGAGGTACTTCGCAACGCAATAGCTCAACAATGAGCAAAACAAGCCAAGTCTATCTAGAAAATCAATAAAGTAAACATAAGGTACTGTGCTGATAACCGTCTATAGATAAGTGTGTAAAATGCTCATACTATCCATCCCTGACATACAGAGAGGCACATCGAAGCTGAACCTTGAACAGAAAATCATAAGTTCAGGTTGCTATACTGCGAAATAGCATATGAAGAGAAAAGTGAACAGAAGTATAATTGGTATTGAGATAAACAAAAAACAAGGAAAGAAAGAAAAAATACGTAACGCTCAACAGAAATGCCACATTTTACAAAAGGGGATTTATCTGCCCTAGGGTGGCCAATTTTGAACTACATCATCCACGTCTAACCACAGATTCTCAGTATCTCGAGGATCCTATTCAGACAACCCATACCTTTTAAGATAGTTCAGAGTTAGAGTTACGGAATTGATAAAAGGACTTCATATTTTGACCTCAACACCCACGAACTTTCTTCTAAACTAGTCTTGGAACAGCAAACATTGCATTTCAGAAAAGACGTACGAAACACAGGGCGACTCAGCAACAACACGCACGTTTGTGCAGTGAGTAATCAGCAACACCTATTATTTGATGATATAATCTAGCTGATCAGAACTCAGTAGATATAGCAGGACACTGATGTGACTTTGCAGTTGAAAATCCAGCGCTGAGATTAATAAAATACCGTTAAACGTAGGTCCCGATAGATAGCTGCAACCATGACGTGGTGGTCGGGGATTGTATAACACAATGACCCAAAGAGCTATCCTAGTGGAACGCTTGCTCCCTCAAGTTCCTACCATACCAGAAAGGTCTGTTAGATATTAGTTGGACAAAAAAAAGTTGCCATTATAGTGTATACTGCTACGCCATCATGGTAGTCCGAGAGCGAAGTCGTACTGCTGAGTGGGCAGGAGTATGACAGCAGTATGTTGTTTTCCCTGAATGATCGGTAGTCCTACGCCAATCCTGCTTTCCCTATAGGAAGCGGGGTGTGTGAAAAGGTCAGACCAAAAAACAGCACACTCCTACTCGTTGCGGCATTCCAATGGCTGTGACAAGGATTCATAGTCGGATTCGAAAGTAAAACACCAAAACCTCAAACTTGCGAAAAGGGTATGTGCGACTGGCCTTAAGTAGATGTTCCTCGGGCTCTGTGGTCACATACAAACCCTTCTTTTTCAGCTACCTTAAGCAGAACTAGCCTTATAGTGTGGGCAGCCGAGAAATATCGACCGCCCTTACAGCACTTTCAGCACTCAAGTTCCCTCACATCCCTGTCCACCTCCTACATCTTTACTTTATAATCTCCCTTCAAGTCTCTTAGTCAATTATCCTACATCATCTTTAATTTCCTCTAGCTCTGCAGCTCACGACAACGATCTGAATTCACACAATAGCACTCCTGGTCTCGTGAAACCACGCTCCAAATTACCCGCTGCAGCTTTCAATGTCCGCACCTTACGTCAAGTCGGCCAACAAGATTCACTAGTCAAAACTCCAGCAACTCAGGCCATGGATGTGCACTGTCTATGAGATACGTACACAGGACCTAAGTGCGGTTCTTCTATTAGCCCCACTCGGTCAATAAGCTAAATCCGCGAAATCCACCCCAGGAGTTTCTGGAGATCCACTGACACGTTCTTGTGGTCTTGCACATGCAGGTATAGCATTAGACACCAAGGCAGAAAGTTCTCTACTCGACTAGATCCCAGATGACAGTCGCCTCTGCGCTGTTTGATTGAACAGCATTATGAGGACAAAAAAAGAATAGTGAAACTCGCCACTGTCTCTTTGTAATTGCTGCTTACGCACCCACTGACTGCAGTTCGTATGAATCGAAAAATGAGTTTACCAAAAACTGTTTAGTCTTCTACTGAAACCCAAGTGCTTGGAAATAGTCGTGATTTCAATGCACAACTGCGTAGGTTAAGCCAGGCAGAAAGGCAATCAGGTGGCACTTTCGGAATCTCAGCCGACCGAACAGATGACGGCGACCGCATACTAAAACTGTGCTCAGATAACCATTTACTTCCAGTAGGGTATTCCTGCATCCCTGCAGGCCCTGAGTCCAATGAGGAGCGAATGCGACTAAAACGTCGACTGACAAAAAGTCTACGCAATAACCGCGGACAGCGGTGAGCAGTGAAGGCTAAAGAAAAAGAAAAAACAGCGGGGATAGGAAATAGTAGACATTTATTTAGACCTATCAAGGAAACGGGAGCCAAAAGGTCAATGGTTAGTGAGACGATAGAGAAGGATGAGTCTGCGATTCACGCACAAAGGAGATGACTAGAACACTTTAAGGAATAGTTTAAATGGCCCCTAGATTCTATTACATGGCTCGCTATCCAGTTGCAGTCTGAATGAAACAACAAGATAGGACCCCGACACTTACAGAAGTCGAGAGCTATGAGCAATCTAAAGTGAGGGAGAGCAGCAAAACCAGGTGGATTAGTTCCAAAGGGATTTAAGGACGGTGGCGAAGTAAATCTACTCAATTTGACTGATGTTATAACTAGTGTGTGGGAGTCAGATACAATCCCCTCTGACTGGTTTCAATCACTGGCCGTCCCAGTCTTCAAGAAAAATGAGTTTTCCCGTGATTACCGTAGAGAAATCACCCTGATTAACATACTGTTCTGGTTTCTATAATCGTCAGACGTTTGAATGCAGCTTGGAAATACCAAGCCCAATAAAACCCAGCAGGTTTCAGACCTGGACGCGGGGTGTGTCAACCACATACTCACACTACACCGGGTTCTGAAACAGGGACACTAATCGACGCCTGACATCAGTTATATTCCTCAACCTGAAGGCGACATTCGACTACATCGATCGAGAGGTCTTTACTCGAACGCCTGTGGACATGTTACAGACTATGATGAGTTGCCATATGAGTTGTGTACATTAAGTGGTGTCCGTTACGGTTGCCCACTCTCTTCATTCCTATTCAATTTTGTCATAGGTATTATTATAGAGGTCTCCCTCTCATCATCTGACATCACAAGGATTGATTTAATCACTAGAGAACCGTTTGCAGATCTTGAGTGCACAAATCACTTAGTCCTGTTTGGTGACGATGCAGTTTCCTGGGAATTGCAAGTGGCAATTTGAAAATGCTTAGGACGCAAGTCTCACCACTTAGGTGTAAATTGCTCGTACAGAACTAGTCTTCAGTGGTACCATGTCTATAAAGACAGAGTGAAGTGCTTTCGTGTGTGGACCACTTAACTTATTTGGGAAGTCGAATCAATCCTGGTAGATCAGTGACCAAAGAAATCTCTGCACAGAAACAAAAAGCTCGATTGTATTCCACCAAATTACGTCATTTATAGTACCATAGTGATATCCAATTGTCTGTCAAGGGTTGAGTGTACTTCACTGCAGTTTACTCTTTTACCATATGGCTGTGAAACACGGCCATTAAATGTAGAAGATTTGATAAGGTTTCTGGTGTTTAACCACCGTTGCCTTCATAGCATATATCGTGATGTAACCACGTGAGTAACGCAGAAGTCAGGTGTAAAGTTTTAGGGAGTAGTGGAAAGTTAGTTGATGAGGTTATGAACTTTCATCAGCTACAGCGGCTGGGACGTAAGTTACGCATCCTAGGTCATGCAGTGTTAACTGAAGTAGGTTCAGGCTGGAGAAAGGCTAGGGGAAACCAGACTGAAACACTGCATCAGTCCATGCAGTCTTTGACTGTTGGTTTGAGCCATGTTGGACGACGTAAACTAGCCAGTTGCGCTCCATGTGACATCAGAAACCAGTGATTAGAGACTCTAGGTGACATGGCTCAGAATAGATGTCAGTGGCGAAGTGTAGGACTATGCCAAGCGCTCACGCTAAGTCAAACAGGCGCTCTCCAGGTTATAAGTAAATTACTGAAAATTTTCACATAATTCAGCATACCTAAAACAGGAGTCAAATGAGAATGCTGAAAGTGGTTACATGTGGTGGATACCACTAGTTAACGCTACTTCAAACAACAACTCTCTGTAAGCTCTAACATGACTACATGAATTTAAGTAAACAGTAGTGAATAGCACAATAAACTTGCTACGTACTCCTTTTATAGTCAAACTACAGAAACACCTCTGCACCTACATAATCAATAGTCGTCCTCGAGTTAACAAATATAGCTGGTGTCAGGCACCGCTGATTACACCTGTTTAAAGGTGGAAGTCTGATCAATGCAACCTGATCCAGGTTTGAAACCTGTGCGGCTTTCTCGTGTTCCAATTACATGTCAAACGATTACAGATCCTAATACCTTGGACGCAACGTTAGTTTAATTGATTCACATTCGGCTACCAAACGAAGATTTCTCTCTTTTCCCACAGAGTGGAATGACTAACGACCTACACCAGAGTGATAGAGACTACCTCTGATTTCCATTGACTAGTTAGTAATTATTGTCAATGTTTATACTATCTCTTTCGCTTCCGCTATCCAATGAAGTGATAACTCAATTCCCTTCGACAAGTCACTTTCTTCTGCGAATTCAGAAAAACGACCAATAGACCAAATGTGATAAACTGCATAATTCGATTAGAGTAAATGAAATATACTCATTCTTTTAATGATGGTAACGCGAGTAAATAAATGTCTGCGTTGAAGTCTTATCAGTTTTTAACTCTAAAGCCAATATTTAATCTATATATTAAGGGGAGAAATGAATTTAAGCATCAACAAAACTAGTCGTTCACTTAACTAATTTTGACATCAAAACTGTGTAGTAATTAATTTTTACCAGATTTCCGTTAATCACTAAATAGTGAGGAATAACCGGTGCAGAAAAGCACCAAATACACTTCATTTTTAAAAACGCAGCATAAAGTTAGTACAGAAAGACTATAAACGACCCCATAATTATGGGAAGCGAAAGTAGAAAAGTAAACATTATAAATAGCCTTAACACAGGTTAGTGTGAAAATTATATGGCTAAATCACTGCGAAACCGAATTGTTACTTTTATCTCAACAAAATGTATGAGATAAGGTTAGACTAAATAATTTTGACAGCAATGAGCTTCAGTGGTTTTCGGAAGACAGATTCTTGTTTCCTGTGACAACCAATGCGGTATCTTTTGAACTACCAAGAAAGTGAATTAAGTATTTACAGTATAGTCCATATGAATTAGACCTTATTTCATCTTTCATAAACAATACCGTCAGGTATCCTTGCTCATGTTGTAAAAAAGCTCTGATAGTGTATCCTAACACGTTTGTTATGTACTATAACTCATGGTTCTTAATTACGGGAAAAGTTGCAAAATCTTTTATTATTATTATTATTATTATTATTATTATTATTATTATTGTTCTACCGAGACTAGTCAGATATGCAGATAGTTTTGGTATTCTTCGAAATTACGTCATCCTAGAAACAACTGCAATTGTAAGTAGGGGTTGAGAATACTTTGATGAAAATACGTATTTTCTCTAAAGTTTGTTTGCTATGGCCTTGATACATCAATGAGCATTTCTAAACGATACACATCAGTGCAAAAAGAAGTGCACTATATTTTTATATACCACTGAAAGTCTCATCTTCTTGGGAATTCTGTGTAAGTTTTCTAATGTTCGTTGTTTGGTAACGAAACAACAGACGGCTTCAGCAGTAAAACATATCACCCAACGAATACACGTGACTCTAAAACAAGTTTATTAAAGTGTAGATATATTGCTTATAACCAAATTAGAAGAATACTACATAACCTTGAAAAGATACTGTATATTTCGAAAAAATATCTAATCAACACGTGAATACACAGCTACAACTCGACTATGCTGTAAGGTCAAACTCAGAAGACACTCAGCAACTATATGCGCGTTTATGCATTAGGTAATGAGCCACACATGATGTGCGAGGGTTACATCATACTAGTTGGTTGAAGGCAATCGGCAGGAAGCCTTGGACCTAGGTTTCCTGCTTTGTTGGCACTCGTCAGCAAGGTGTATCTGCAACTTCGATGGAACTGATGTCCAGTCTGAGATTCAAACTCGCGTCACCCAGTGTTGTAGTCAATGATTTTACCAGCTTTCGGGCTGCAACTGACCTCCTGTAGAACTGGGTTACATGTCCTGATTGGTCACGGGAGAGCAAGCTATTTCATTTTGATCATACTACCTGGTTGTTGAAACCCTGGTAGGTGGGATGGGGCTCAAATCCATGACCTACCAAGTGCCTAGATTAATCAACCATAGCTTTGTAAGCTGTAGAGTATGCGTATTTAGATGTTAACAACGAATCTTCTGTTTCCCAATACAAAATAAACAACAAATCAATGTCACAATAGTCACCTTTGTTTGATTCTTTTGCTTCAAGATGTTTCAGTAAGGCTTCTAAATCGTCTTGAAGGTTTGCATGCGATGATGAGGTTAAATCACGGTAACGTTTAAGCATAGAGATGTCATTCTGCAATTTACGTACCTGTAAGTCAACAAAAGAAAGAATCAGTGGAATTACAACGCGATCTTTGTGCTAGAATAAGTTCGTGCAAAGGGAAATTATTAAACCAAAAAATCTGTATTAAGAAGCTTGGTTATGGAACTCATGCACAATAAACAGACAAACTTAATAAAATTAAGCCTCAGGAGAATAACAGGCTATCCTGTCTTAAGTAATGTCTGATCCAAAATAGATGAGTTCCCGAAAACAAAAACACTGAACTATACTCTGATATCTGAAGCAATAAGTATTGGTTTCAAGTATAAATGGATAACGCAATACAACACAACAGGTGTACTAGGGCGAAAGAGCCACATCCACTGTGAGGGTATCAGTATCAGCTGATTACCCGAAAACTCGATAGTTGGAACAAGGTTACAAACCATGATACCCTAGCCGATGGTCTAATCAAATCAGTTGCAGCTCAACAAGTGTTGGTCGAATAGTTAACACAGAGTGGAATAAAGGAATACCTATACAAACCATCACAAACAAGAGAAAATGTATCTTGCAAATAAACTTGCAGCTTGACAGTGATGTGGAAGAACAGTGTTGAGACGCCGAACAGACTACGCTAAGTTCAAAATAATTGAACATGATTACAGTGGCTGACCACTCAAACTAAAGACAACCTCACCATGAAAAGACACCAGACTGTATCAGATGTTTATGAATAGAATATACACTACCATGAATAGTTGTTAATGTTAGCATTGTGTTCATTATTTAACTATTTTCAACTACCTTGGTTGGCAGACTATGACTACAGAGGGATGATAATTGTAATTTAGAGACTACATGATACTTAGCGATGTTTAGTGTATCCCGTTTTTACCAAGAAGATCGTAATTTATCAGTCAATTTACAAGACCCAATTAGCAGGAAGCATGAGTTTGATAACCAAGAGAAATCAAATACAGTCCACTCAATCCCTGCATCAAATCCCGATCGATTTCGACTGGGATAAAAAGAGATAAATGGATAGTAAATATGACAAGATCCCAACAGATGTGTATCTTTTATGATTTCAATAAGGTTAAAAGGTAGTTAGATCTTGTAGTCCAGTTGATAAAGTGCTGTAAACGATTGACCTAAGACCACTAAATGGAACACAATAGTGACTCGAATTTTATCCTGATTTCATATTTACAATTAAATAAAAATAAGAAACAAATTAATTAACATTCTTGATGGGTAGCGGTTAACAGTGGAGTCCAGGACGCGCGTTTCATCCTATTGAGGACTCGTCAGCTGGATGTCCCTGCCTCCCAGTGAGTAATTTTGTTTCCACTAGGACCCGAAATCGGGACCAATTCCTCCGAACGCCAGAGCGTTATCCATTAGGCCACCGAGTCACGATAGCTTTAATGTTGTTATTTGCATTATCCCATCGTTGAGTAGACCGAACTGATGAGCCTCTATTGGCATATGGGCTCCTGCACGGATGCCTTGAGACTACCTGTGTTTGAATTATATTTTAATGATAGATGGTGGCTAGCAGTAGAATCCGGGACGCGCGTTTCGCCCTATTTGGGACTCCTCAGCAAGAGCCCATATGTCAGCAGAGACCGATCAATTCAGTCCACTCAAAGATGGGATAATACAAGTAATAACATTAAAAACTACGCCCGTCGCACAAGAAGTGGCTTTCGTGACTCGGTGGCTTGGTGGATAACGTTCCGGCGTTTGGAGCGACCGGCCTAGAGTTCGAGTCTTAGTGGGGATAACATCCCTCACCGGGAGGTAGGCACAACCAGCTAACGAGTCCTAAATAGGATGAAACGCGCGTCCTGGACTCCATTGCTAACCACTACCTATCATTAAAATATAATTCAAACACAGGTAATAGCGAGGCATCCCGTGCAGGATCCCATTCGCCAATAGAGACCGATCAATTCGGTCCACTCAAAGACAGGATAATACAAGCAACAACACTAAATCGATTAGTTGTGATAAAGTTTCAGCGTATTGTGCATCCATATAAAGAACAACGTTTAGTAGAGAGGAAAGATGAAAATTATAGAAGGATAGTCAGTTAGTGTGACTTTAAACTATACTTGACAATTTTTATTGCGAATGACCATTGCTGTCCATTGAGTGCAAACCAAGGAGTTAAAAATATATCAACAGATGTTGACACATTACAAGTATCTTTCATCTCAGTACGGTAAATCACAAACTTACTGCCTATTTTGCTTGCTTGTCTATCACATTCACAAGTAATGGATATTATAGAAAGTGCTTGGACAGTATGTGTTAGATGTTTGCAGGGAAAAAAATCATAGAAAACACCTACTGAGTCAGTAGCCTCAATATGAAACACTCTCAAAGACTCAAGGATGAACATAGAGAAGACACGTTTTTGTCATACAATCGAGAATCATTAATTTCAAAGGTGTTATCCTGTAGAATAGTACAGTTTTGAAAAGAGCAATGACAGCAACTGATGAACATTATGAACTGTAATCTGAAGGATAACTTACTCACTCCTGTCAGATTCAGTGCTGTGAGCATTATATGGGTGAAAATATCAATGATTTGCTGAAGTTAGAACTACGACTATACTTTACATACGTGTTAACCATCTATGCAATCTATGTACATGTATATAAGTACAAAGATTGAGATTAACCTGAGGCTGACAGAAATAGCGATCAAACGGATAAAAAAATCCAACATTCCCAAGAAGTTGTAATCTGTGTGCTTGCTGACTAGCAGTGGAAGCTTGGACGCACGTGTCGTCCCATTTTAGACTCATCAGCTGGACGTAACTCCACCTTAGTGAGTGGCGTTGTTCCCACTGAGACTTCGACCGAGTACCCATCCCTTCAAACGCCAAAGCGTTATCCACTAGGCTATTGGGGCAAGAGGCTGGCATATGCGTCATTCTAATGCGAATATAGTCCTAAATTCATCAATACTATTCTTCTGGCCAGAATTCAAGTTTGCCAGTTCTACTGAAAATTGACAAACAGCACAATAAAAGCCGATACATAAAACTGAGCTGTCTAGCTACTTGATTCTTACATCCTGAAGAGAAAAAAACACAGTCAAGGACTTTCACACTGCAATAATTATAAAAACCATGAGTGAAGAAGAAAATACGAAATCCACCTACCTCATTGATTGCTCCAGTTAGCTTATATTGTAAATTTCCATGAGATTCAATCGATTCAGGGAGAATATTGTTTTCCATAGCTTTTTCCGTATTTTTATGTCGTTCAATAGCATGCTGCAGTTCTTGAAGTTGTTGACTAAATGCGACAAAAATAAATAAGTCAGAATCAGTTACTTTTATGATATAAAAGAACAATACATCATCAGCTGGTCAACTCGGCACGCGAAATGCATTTTGCTTGCCACCAATATAGCTTACGTGATAGTGAAAGTATGGCTTTGCCAGACTGATAAGGATGGAATAATTCCTACGTTATGATAGAGGGGAAAAAATTCAAGTGCCTAAATGATTGATTTATTAAAACAGTACATTTACTGCACAAAAGTTGTTCACGTTCGGCAATGGAATTACACAACTCGTGAATGAGATAGGAAAGTCAATCGAGAAGATTGGTACACCTTTAGCGGGCTAACAATACCACTCAGCTTTTGAGAACACTGAAAAGTGGAACAGAGTTGGAACCTACAACTTAGTGGTTGGAGGTTAAGTACTTAACCCTTATGGACATCTCGAGAAATCTGGTTTGATAAACATAAGAACATAATGGTTACATCAAAAAAATTTGCGCAATGTGGAAAGAACCGACCCATTGCGTATCAATTTAAACGAAGTGGTAACACACAGTGAGATGATCACATTCTTTGTACTCAGTACAGTTATGCTGTAACTAGAGGTGTTTATAAATATTCGCAGTGAATTACTTGACATTCAGCTAACCAATGCTTGAAATATACCATTTGGTGTAGGTTGGATCCTAGTCTGTAAGATATGACCTCTATCCTACCCATGTTCCATTGTGAAGTCAATGTTATTTGCAATAAGCCATTTTTCCAACTTGCTCTATCTCTCTACAGACCAACAAAACAACATGGAGGAAGGTAGACCCTAGCCCAGTATGAACGATTAGTTGAAAAACTCCTGGGTTGGTTGGCCTAAGTTTTATCAAGTTATACCTTTTTCACTGTTTCAACTTTCTAAATACATAATTAGGGAAATTTATTACATAACCAAAATATATAATTCAGAATTGGGTTAAAACTTTACTACTTAAATAATCTTCATCAGTAAGTGTATAGATTATGTATATACAATTAAGTCTGATCGTTGTACTTTTTACCCGATACAGCTGGGGAAGAGATGAATGAGAAGTGGTCATCGTTTATTGCTTAGCAGAGTCCGTATTCTTGAATCGCTTAACGAACACCTCAATATCCAAAAACGTGACACAATAAATGAAAGGTATTTCGTGGTGCTAGTAAACCAATTCGCTATATTATTTTTTTACATCCACTGTACTGAAAGGCTTCGGCACTACTGTCTGCATACAAATTTACTACTCGATATAGCTAACAGGGTTCTACATTCATAATGTTTATCTGTTTGCCTACACAACAGTCAAACCTTATTTGGAACTTTTGAATATTATTAAAGTGCACAGCTCCAAATCAAAATCGAAATACACTCAGCAACCTTGAGCATATTAGTGCAGTAGACAATGAGTCACACCTAGTGTGTTAGGGAGAATGATAATACCTGGCCGCCCAAACCTCGGTAGGTGGGGCGAGGCTGGAACTACTGACCCATCCGTTAAAAGTCATCTCCCTAAACCATTGGGGATCACCTCCACGCGTAGCTCCACCCAAATTTATATTATCCACACTTCATAAAAGGTACAACTGAAGACCATCGTATTTGTTGACAATAGTGACATGCGATGAAAATCTTCTTACTAGCCGTTTGCATTTATTTACATAAGGAAAAATAAAAGTTATTTGGCAGTAACTACACAAAAGTGATCATAGTTAAGTTAGTAGTTCCTAAAACACTACGATCAACAATTAATTTAAGGTTGAGAACTAAAATCCCCAAGTGCTTAGACAGCCTTTCTAAATGATGTGCATATAATTAATACCAACATGCATCTTTTACAGATTTCTGAAACACCGACACAGTTAATGATATAATTGCAATTCAGGGATAAGTAATGGTTGGTTATTAAACACAGAAAAAGTGATCCCTGAACATTTCCACTCAATCTATCAATTCAACTACTAGTAAGTAAAAACAATACAAAATAGGATAGAAAAGAGTGTAGTAATGATGGATAGTGGCTAGCAGTAGAACCCAGGATACGCATTTCGTCCTATTTGAGACTCGTTAGCTGGATATACCTGCCTCCTGGTAAGTGATATTGTTCCCACTGGGATTCGGACGAAATGCGCATCCTGGATTTCACTGCTAGCTACTATTCACCATCGCTACATAATTAAAACCACAGGAAATATCGAGGCATCTGCGCAGGAGCCTACATGCCAATAGAGACCGATCAATTCGGTCCAATCGACGACGGTATAATACAAACAATAACACTAGAACGGAATGTGCTTATATTCTCGTTCCAAACTGATGATGATCACAACAAAGCCTCATGTGTATTATGTAGGTTTAGGTAAGGTGACTTTGTGAATTCACCATTAAATGGGGGAGTTAGTCGAATGTCTCAGAATTTATCACTTTCTAAAACTGCAGGATTGAGAACTATTGAAACTTTAACATCTTCAAAATAGAATTTTGCATAAATATTGACATTTTTCAACAGTCAAATGCATTGCGGTAAGTCATTGAAATCTACACACTGAAAGTTACCAGGATAAGTGTATAACTTCCTTGAAAGGTCAGAAAAAGAATAAGTAGAACTACTTTGGAAATCATGACATTGATACTTATCAATCTCACCACCTCTAAGACCACTTATATCAAAGGATAATTATTTACCAAAGCACAGAGTAGTGTTTTATAATACAATGCTGAAGGTAACCAACATGAAAAATCCGAAAGGTATCGATAAATATGATTCTCTTTCAGTATTTTGTAGGACCCGGATCTCTGTGAATTTCTGAAGTGCGACAGCTTACAATAAAGTGGCAGTATGTCCAAGGCCGCTTGGCATGTCACGAAAAGCATTTCCAACAAACTAGAGACATTCACCAACAACTGCCTACGCTCAATACTGAAGATCAGATGGCCAGAAAGAATAAGCAGCAAGGAACTCTGGCTGGCTGGTTGGCAACGAACCAACCACCCAACAAATCTGCAGAAGAAAGTGGAGATGGATTGGGCATACACTGTGAAGACCGACTGGAGACATCACGCACCAGGCCCTCGAGTGGAATCCAAAAGAGAAACGACGAGTTGGGCGTCCAAGGGTGACATGGAGGAGATCATGGGAGGAAAAAATGAAAGGTTGTGGGCAGTCGTGCAGCCAGGTTGAAAAGACAGCAGAGAATAGACTGGAATAGAGGCATGCTACTGAAGCCCTATGGTCCACTAGGAAACAAAGGGAAAAATAATAATAAATGATAAATGTCCAAGGCCGTGCCAACTCAGAGTCATTTGGTAACATCCGAAATACGATAATATACCTGATCATTTCCATATACACTCAAATTCAAAAAAGTGTACAGTAAAAATATAGCTAACAACATTAATAACACTTACTTAGCTTGTTCAACAACTTGTTCTACTAGTTCTTCTGTTCTGTTTTTTGCTACTTCAAGCTTTCCAACGAGGTCCCAGTTCTTATGTTTTGAGACCGACTAACAAGGAAAATCATAAATTGAAAATTTACTGATAAAAAATCTATCCAACTTCAAAATATACACACGTCATGACTAACATAAACATCAGGGGCGTTGAACTATGATACATTTACCTGGACAACATTGAAAGTAAAACTCCACTATTCAATTCAATTGAAGATCTGAACTACTTGAGAAAATAGTTGTGATACATTTTATTGATGAACATCCAGTGTTTATTGTCTGTCCTACTTAAAAACAGACGGGAAAGTACGATTGGCAAACAGACAGACACATGAAATAAAACAGTACAGTAGCAAAAAAAATCCAAAAGAATTAGAAATGTATTTGAATAAACAAGAAGGATACTTTATGCAGAGAGAATAAATAAAGTCTGATACTGTTGAAGATTTCGCAGATAGTAAGGCATGAGTATTTGTACTCTGTCACCAGGACTCTCCAACACTGAACCAAGCATCCTACACATCTTTACCATTTAAATTTAAACAGCCAGTTAACGAATTGGATTGGACGCCCTTGGGTTGTCAGCAAACTAGGTTTGCTTTAACTAACATAGTGCATTAGGTCAACGGTAGTTTCTTCCATGTGACTCATATCCTAGCTGCTTCATCTAATATGGTTTGGGTAACCAAGTGGTATCTCCAAGCCCTCACACAATAGGTGTGGCTCACCGTCAAGTACGAGAACCTGCATGTAATTTCCAAGTAACAATTCTTAAATACCATTTTATAGCCAACTGAGTCGGTTGGTACGTACTAAGGACCTCCTCGACTGACTGACTCACCAAATGCCAATATTGTTCAACTTACGATTCAATCACATAAGGGTTTCGTTTCTTGGATATGAATAATAAAAAACTTGAAAAATTATCATATCATTGACCTTCAAAGGTCATATTTTTCAGATACATAGTAAAACAGGCAAGATGACGAATTAATTACCAAAGACACGACGCAGGCACCAACATATACATGCAGTATTCCACAAAGTTATTTACTTGCTACACAATGATATTAATATTACATTACATGAAATATCTTTAAAGGCGTAAATATGCACTCCCTTCGAAATGTTAGACTTCATTTTATAAGTGACTTTGAAAGAAGACTGTCGTCAAGCCCAGTGACCTCTTCAACACACCAGAGGCTTTGGCAATCCGGGGGTATAAACCGTATTCAAAAAGGATGCGTTCAATGTGTAATTTTGTCTTGGTCGTAATCTCTGCAAAACATTTTATTCATTTCTTTGTTTATTTACTAAAACCCTATGAGCAGTTTTTGATGAGCTTGATTTGACCTTCTAGGTATTATTACCTTGTGACTTTATTGACCGTTTTTGATGGCTCTGACTTGACCCATTAGCCATTGATGGACATATATATTTTGTTGTAAGTATGATTACGATTTTACAGATTTTGATAATGATTCATCAAGAAAATTTTCGTCGCTGAATTGTCTTTTATAAATTTTTCACTATCTAATGGGACCATTTCGGTAGTATGACGTAAATATTGATAAAAATCGTCTAGTGTACCAACTGAACCTCCAAGATGAAGTGTCGGAAATCGGAGAACGCCACTTATTATGCCAGAACACAATGAATCGAAATAAAGAATACTAAATCATAATATACTGAGGTAGACTGCTGTTGCTTACAAAGTTTAGAGTTACTTTTAAGTTAGCAAATTTAATTTATTCGAACGACAGCTAGCTATAGGAATGAATTTAACACGTTTTTATAATCGCATAGCTGTAGTAAATGACAGAGAAAAAGACTACTTAGCAAATTTGCCGTTAACTTATTAATTTACAGATAAAATTACAACCAAAGAAATAGCTGGGATTTATTTACACAGGTGTACAATAATCACTAGAAGTTATCTATATATCACTGAAACTCAAACATTATTAAAACTGGTTAATATTATGGACATTGTAACAAAAGGATAATTATGTCCTATACAAGTGAATGCCTTCAAAATATGTAACGGTCATTCTTGACACCAAACTATATCAACAATTATAAACAATTCTGTAAAAGCTAGTTGTGGCCAATAGAACGAGAAGGTTAGAAACATTTTTTTCGGGTTTTTAAACAGACTAGAGTCAAACCGAAAACTAAGATGGGATCTGATGGTATAAAGAAATCCGAGCATTGCATAAATGAATTCATAACTTTTGGTATTTGTATTTCCAAATGTATATAAAACAAAATAAATTTGTTTTAACTGACATTTCGCTAATTAATGTTGGTAGCCTTATCAAAATTATAATAAATCAAAATTAACAAAAGACAATTTCAGTGACAAAAGTTTTCTTTCCAATGAGTCATTTTCAAAATCTGTACAATTTTGAAATAATGAAGAATATTTGTAGCTCAAGTGGATGGTCTTCGTTGTATTGTGTTCTCTCAGCTGGGTTGTTTAATCCAGCTCAAAATCATCACAAATGTTCGATAACGTCACAAGGTAATAAACAGCTAGAAGGTCAAATCAAGGTCAATGAAATGAATAAAATGTTTCGAGGAGATTACGATCAAGGTAAAATTACAGCTTAAACTACTGAACTGCCAAAGCCTGAGTTGGCGGATATGCACTTCCTTCGAAATGTTTGATTTCACTTTATAAATAACTTTGAAAAAAGATTTTCGTGAAGCAAAGTGACTAGGGTTAAACCAGATGTTTAAGAATCTAGCTGTTAATGGCATTACACTCTCTTTTAGAAAGCCATGAATGTTAGTGTTCGGAGATGCGCTTAGACAGAACACGCTTTGTGCAGCCCATGTAATTAGCTCCACAAAAGCAGGTGAGTTGGTCAACACAGACGGAGGTGAACTAAAGCAATAGTTAATCTTTTGCATAGCCCAAAATTCAGTTGTTGACTGGAGAAAACAAAACGAAGCTCAACGGAAAAGGTCTTCTTAAGTGCTTTGCACAATCGATTCTTGAGTATTTCTGTCAATATCTCTCTCTTGAATCTAATATTCATTAAGTGTCTTCTTTGAGACCGGAATTTACAATATGCAAGCTTATATATCATAATTTTATATGCCTTCTTCTGTGTGGATGATTATGCGTTGTCAAATTATTGAACAGATTGTATATCCACACGTAGTGTATTTTGTGTAATGAGTGCGCGAATTACATATTGAGACTTGTATGTACACGTAAGCTGGTAGTTCTCATGTATGTTGGGTACGTCAGTATGTGGGAGTGGGTTGAAATTGGGTTGAGTTACGTTTTATTCCCTCATTCCTATTTAGACGATTTTGATAGGTGAAAAGATTCTGCTATGAAAGGTTACTTATAATTGTTAAAGACTTTTCGAATAACCTCAATATTGTCAAACTTGACCTTGTGGTCTGAAATTATAGTATGTAGTGTTATGGCTGAATTGTTTTTAAATTTTTTCAGCCCTACTGGATTTCTAAGGTGTTGGGTGAGAACCCACCGATGTACATTTTTTTTAATTTTGATTTTACATGTAGCTTGTCTTATGTATAATACATTGCAGTATGAGCATTTTATTTTGTTAACATAATTAGATCTTGAATTCAAAGGAATTTCATTCTTCAAATAGACTAAGGTGTTCAACAACGTGTTTCAAGTTATATAGAACAGTCTGATATTTCATTTATTGAGCACTTTCTTAATCTCATCCGAGGTATGTGATTTGTATGAGATGACCACTGTTAAGGTTCATGGTTTGCGAGTACTTGTATGTTAACGCTATTTTTCTATTTTGCAAATGGATTTCACTGGATAACTGTCCATTCTAAGAATCTTATTCACATAATTTAATTCCGTAATTCTTTCATTTTCGTCCGTTATTATTTGACAACGCAGAATCATCCATCTAGAAGGATGTATATCAAGTTATTATATGTAAGCTTGGATATTGCAAATTCCGGTTCACTATAACTTTGATAGAGCTATTAACATTAACTAGCGAAACATTAGTGTATCTTGCTTTATATTGATTGGGAAATACAAATACTAAAATAACGATATTGCACATAACGAATGAAACGGTACAATTTACTGAATGACGTTTCGAGTAGAATTTATTGTTCATTTTCATATCAAGGTAATCATAAGACTTTAAAACCTTTTGGTGTAGTTCGATGGTTCTTCATTCTTTTATCTTAATGGTAGTAAAATTCTCCAGATATCTGCATTACGTGATGAGTCGTTTTCGTTACATGTTTTAGGTGTCGATTCGATGAGCAAAGATTCTGTGGACAGAACAATCTCTCCCTCCACCTAGCTATATTGGATTTTAGAATTATTACCCTATCTCACCCTGTAGTATGATTACGAGTCAATACATGCGGAGCGACAGCTGAGTTTTTCTTTAAATTACTTATCTTACTAGGGTCTACTGTTGTATGCTTCGCTCAATTTTTGTGTTTTGCTATTATAACTGACCCAGACCAGCTGCTTTGACTTATATACTTGACCTCACAATCACTGAATGCTATTTGATAGATTAGATAATTTTTCCCAATTGGCTCTACTGGATATTTTAGCCTACAAATTTCCTCTCTAATCGAGTTTGTGGGTTTATATGCCACCCTAATCCCAACAATCTTAAGAATTCTACACTAAACTTCTGATGTCTTCTTTATCAAGCAACATTACAGAGGAAAACCTGCAGTCTGATAATTCAAACTCTTCCCGTAACGACTCAACAGACCAGGGATTGCGGAGTCCGGCGTCCACACCCATCCAATTCATTCGATCATAGTCATACGAAGAGTAACACAGTACCATGAAACATTCAATTCAAAATTGTGATATATATATATATATATATATATATATATATATATATATATATATATATATATATAAGTAAATGTTTAGCACCTACATTATGATCTTGTACAGCAGTACGGAGTGCATCTATATACTTCACCGTAGCCAATTCAAGTTCCTTCAGCTTTTTTTCAGCAGTTTCCACTTTACTCTCTGTTTCTTTTACCAGACTAGGTAAGTCACCTGTAAGAATGATAGAGAAGAAATATTTCACATCATTAACAATTCTTATGTTTTGCTTAGAAATAATTTATATATATAATTCAGTACCTATATATAACCTAGCGTGTTGCTGCCTTAGTGGTAAACGATATTATTAGGTTACACAGATCGAAGTTTTCGAAGTAAGCACTTCGTGACTGAAAATCAGATGTCAAGCCCCGCTAAGCGACAGCATATAATTAGAAGCAATAGCCACAATACACCTGCAAATTTCAAAATCAATAGAAATAACCAGTCCAGTCCATGTACTGACGAAAAGGATAAAACTAGAGTAGAAAACTTCAGTTTTAGGTAAGGAAAGCTGATAGAATAAAAGCAATCTTTGAAACTGTCCTTTCTGAAGGAGAACTTCCATTTTTGTTAGTGGTTGTTTTTAGTAAGTTGGCAACACAGTCGTTTGTTTCCTCAGTTGAATGTACTTCTGAGATTACGAGCAGCTTTATTCTGAGGACTTTTCTTCGTTTTTCTCTGTACCATCTGCTTGATTTTTAAACTGCTGTCGTTAACGTTGCCATGTGTTGTGTCGTGAGTATGCTTTGTAGTTTTCTCTTTTGAATGTCAATCACGAAATGGTATTTCCGGATCCGATGATGCGTATCTGTTATCATTAATTGTACCATTTGTCTTCCACTTTGTTTAGCTATTTCCCATCCCACTGGAGAGTCATTCGGTGGTCTATATCTGACACTCTTCGGCAGAACATGCTGATGTAGGCACTCATGGAGAAAGAATAGTTTTTTTTGCGGAAGCTTGCCTATAGGAGAAGTTCTCCCATCTTCGGACAACGTAAAGCGTGTTACGCTAGTATGATTTTGAGATGGTGGAGAATATTTTTAGCTCAGGTAGATGACCTTGTTTGTATTTTGTTCTCTGAGTTGCTTATTCATGGAGCTTTAATCGTCTTTCTAGACGACATCTTCAGCACTAACTTCAGTATGAAGTTAGTGCCGAAGAAGCTCCACGAGTAAACAACTCAGCTCAGAGAACACAATACAGTCAAGAAATTGTCCTTTTCCCTCTTCTATTCAGTTCGTAAAAAGTATGAATTAATTTCTGAACCTATTTTATCTATGACTACATATTTCATTTTCGAAATATTTTGCCACGGTACTATAAATACTCACAAAGATGTAGATAACAGTGATTGCGTAGATTCGAAAATGAAACGCATGAACAGAGATCTCTTCGATAAATTAATTGTTCTACGTTTGCTCAGAATATCTGGATCTGATTTTAACCTTGTATTGAAACGTGATCTATCTATGGGCCATAATGCAATCCAAATACAAGCCTTCAACGTCTGTATTATTTGCATAGAACTAATGTACAATATTCATGACACAGTAGTCAATCTCCAATTGAATTCTATATTTGACCACAGGAAATAA